CTTTCTTTCTTTCTTTCTTTCTTTCTTTCTTTCTTTCTTTCTTTCTTCCTTTCTTCAGAATCTTTACAAGACAGATTTTAATAGCTGGATGAAAGGAATTGGGTGGATCCCAATTGGTTCCCTTGAAGCGGAGAAAGTTAGAAAAGCAGGAGAGGCTCTAAATGAGAAGAAGTACCGACAGCATCCAGACACTATTAAATTTACAAGTATTGTGGATTCTCCTGTCATGGTCCAGGCTAAGCAGAATGCACTTCAGCTCAGTGATGTGAGTAAGGCTTTGGAAAGATAGGTGAAATGCTAAGTCTTATGGAGTTGGAGAGTCTTCTAAATGCAATGAATGAATGAAATTAAAGAAATGGAATCTTGTATTTAATAATTATGCAAATGTGGCTAATTCTATTCTATTTATTTTCATCTTGCATGTCAGTATTTGCTTTATGAAGAGTACAAAAGAATGTCCTATTTAGGAAGGGTATGAGATTGTGTGTGGGGTTTTTTTTTTGGTGTCTTTATTGACTGGACTAGTCCCTGCAAATTTATTGGAAAAGTTTTCAAAAGGAGTTTATCACTACACCAAACTTTTTCTATCTTTGCTTCCCCCCCACCCCCCCAAATGCTATGGAGTTCACCATTGTCTGCTCACAATACTAAGGGACTTAGAAATTATCTGCTCCTTTACATTTCTCACTATGTCAGATTCCAAAATCTGTGCATTCTTCCCTTTGCATTATAAAGTACCAGCCAAGTTACTTAGATCACCAAAGGCTTATAATATCAAAATCTACTGGGAAAAAAAATAGACTAAAACAGAGTTCAGACAGGGGTGGGATTCTCCTGGTTCGGACCGATTCAGACGAATTCCTTCAGCCTGAACTGGTTCACTCCGGTGAGCATGTGGACCCGCCCACCCCTGATCTTTCCTGTGCTTTATGTCTTTTTATTAGAGCACAGCTGATTCGCGTGGCAGAGTGGTTTGCCATGCCTCAGCTGTTTTCTTCAGCTACAGTTGAAGGTAATTATTAACTTTTTAAAATGTGGAGCATGTGTGGGTGTTTGGTGCGCATGTGTACTCCAAGCCCACGCTCACTGAACCGGTTGTTATACCGGTTGAATCGCACACCTGAGTTCAGGGTATTGTTGATGGTACATTGTCCCCTGGACAATGGCACCTGTTTTCATGAGTTTTTGGAAAGTCCTGAAGATAAGGTTATGTCCCAGATATAGGTTGGATCATTAGTTGGACCTGTGAAGAGTTTGTTCAATTTGGGGCAGATAGGTGGGTTTTTTTTTAAAACCTGGTTATGCTGTGTTAGTAGACTATGTATGTAAATGTTCTTAGCTAGCTAGCTCAGAGTCATGATGGTAAGATGGGCAGACACATAAATTGGATAAATGAATACAATTCTAAGGTATTTTGTTTTTAAACAAAATAGGCCAGGATGTAATACCTGAAAATGTATTGATTCTGCAGTCATTTGTATTGTCATTTTTTTAAAAAATCAGTATACATGTAACAGCTTTAACAACATAATTAGAAAGTAAGATAAATCTCAGAATTTTTCCACTAAATTCAATATTGCTGTGTCTAAATTTAATAGCTGAAGAACAGATTTGTGTTCTATTAATAGTATTTGAGATAATTCATTTTTAGTTATTGAATAAGCTTTAATAAACATATACTCAAGTGCTTGAGGCTGAGATTGTAGTTTCTAATAGTAATAGACAGCCATTTGTTTGAGACTGAAGGAAGTTAGGTGTTTCCTCTTTAAAAATTAAGTTTTTTTACATCTAGTTTTCCAGATAGCTTTGTTCTGCTAATGAACCTAGAAGGATCTTGTGGGTTTTATAATGATCTGGAAGTGGTTGTTTGATTAATTATAATTATTATAATTATAATTGTTAATTGATTCAACTTAGCTACCTCGTAGCAACATTTTTCATAATGACAAATAAGTACACATGGAAATGTAGTAACTGATTCTAAGGATAATTCATATAATGCCTTCCTATGGACATTCTTTTCTCCCATGGAAGAAAGTATAACTTGTTTTCAGTGGCTGTTAAGCAGACAGTTTTACTCACTAAGGTAATATGTAAATTCAACTGTTAAGAAACACCAGGATATATTATTGTCTTGTCTCTTTGATTTTCAGATATTATACAAATCTTCTGGGGAAGAAATGAAGCATACTTACAATTTGCCTGCAGATGCCCCTCAATTTATCCAGGCCAAATATAATGCAGCTAATATCAGTGATGTAAGCGACTATTCAAAAGTTGTGCATAATTTATACTATGGCAAATTATGCAGAGTTTTATAATAAATATTATTCTGATAATTTGAAAATCAAATAGATAACATAATTTGGTATGTGATGATATCGTTGTTTATCACCTGATGCTGTTCATGATATAAGTAATTTTCTTTTTTCCTATTGGGAGAAGGGAAACAAGAAATGGAGGGATCAAACATTGATAGTCATATCAATAGAAGCTCTGCTAACATAGTTAGCCATAGTTTCAAACCAACAGATCAAGCATAATCCAGAAAAAGCTAACTTTTAGTCAAGATAAATGCATTGTAAGAAAGTCGAGATAAATGCATTGTACGGACTACTAGATTCTAAGTAATTCTAAATTAATCAACAGTAAAGACTTAAAATGACTTGTTAAAGTACAGTATAAGACAATATTATATGTGGATGTCAATGTTGTTGAAAAAGTAAGATTTGTACTTGTGGAAAATAATAAAAATTTATTGGGGAAAAAATGACTTGTTAAATCAGTAAGATGCTCTTTTTTCAGAATTATTATAAATATGGCTATCAGGACCTCATAGCCAAAGGACCCAATGTACTGGTTGATGCCATTCCAATTACTCATGCCAAGGCCTCAAGAAACATTGCTAGTGACGTAAGTAATCCTTACTAAGTTCTCTTTATATACTATCAAGATGATGAAAGTTGCTCTTAGCTTGCTGTGTAAATGATTAAATTATTTTCTCACACATTACCTTCTCAGTTTGAGACCATTATATCCTTAGGCTTAAAGATTTTTGTTGGCAAAATTTCTTGTCACTCTCATTCTATTGTTTCAGTGTTCTTCTTCACTACGGAGGACAGGTGTGAATCTATCATTGTTTCTTCTAGTGGAAATGATTGGCTGCTTGTTCAAGAGGGAAAAATTACTGGAAAAAATGGAAGCAAGCTATTGCGCAACATAGATAGAACTAAATATTATGCCATACATTTTATCCCATTTCCAATGATTGGGTCATCTATATGTATTCTTTTGCACAGATTATAATAGTAACTTTCAGAAATCCATTATTTTCAGTTTCTTAGTCCAGCCTATAGGACTACCAGTAATGCATGATTATAATCCAGGCATAATTATGCATGTACACAGGCATAATTTCACTTTTTCCTACTATAGGAGGGTTTTTTTTAAAAAAAGAATCCTGTTGTGTCCATCTCAATGATTCACCTAAAATTATTTTTCTTCATTACTAATAAAAAAATGAATTGCCAACTAGTCCAGACACTTTTCTTAGCTGCTTGTATACCAAGTCTCACAATCCAGGCCTAACTACTCTCTCTCTTTGTCTCTCTGACTGGAACTTTAGTTCAAATACAAAGAAGCTTATCAAAAGACTAAAGGCAAACAGGTTGGTTTCCGAAACTTGCAAGACGCTCCTCTGCTTGTCCATTCCATGAATGTGGCCAAGATGCAGTCTGAGCGTGAGTACAAGAAGGATTATGAGAAAAGCAAGACATGCTACCACACACCAGTGGAGATGGTCAGTATCCAAGCTGCCAAGCAGGCTCAGGATTTAGCCTCCAATGTCAACTACAAACATCTGATCCATCGCTATACCTACCTGCCTGATGCTATGAATGTGGAGCTGGCCAAGAATCGGATGCAAATCCAGAGTGATGTAAGTAGGGCAATATTTAAAAGGTCACAGTTGCCTAGTGACAACACAGCATAGTTTACCTAGCAAGCAATGATATCTCTTTTCAAGAATCATTTCTAAGAATAAATTATTTAAAAAAAATATTTATTTTTTAATCACAGGGTCAGATTAATCATTCTTAAAGATGCTCAAATTGTTAAAATGGCCTTTTGAGCTATGAAAGAAGGAAGGGGAGGTGTGGAAAATGACAGTTCCTTGAATTCTTAATTATCTCTAATTCCCAGGGAAATATTGCTTAATTCGGCAAGGGAAATCCATCCGCACTGATGATGCACCCCAATTTTTCAGATAACTTCATCAGTGTGATAAATGGCTATATTTTTAAAAGCCACATTTAACAAAACAGTTGGGTTGGGACCCTCATTTAAAGAGGAAGGGGAGAGCAGTTGAGAATGTTAGAATCATTCATGTAAACTGCTTTTTGTTGGGAGTTAAAGCATGCTATGTCAGCAAATGATCAGTGAAGCAAGTTTACGAATTATAACAGAAACAAGATTTCTTTACAGTAAATTTACAAAAAGGCAAATGCTTGGTATCTAGCTAGTGATGTCCCTTCCATAGGAGAATCACATCACATGTACCCTTTGTGTGTGTGTGTGTGTGTGTGTGTGTGTGCGCACGGGCATGCATGCACCTGGAAAGATGAAAGTGACATCAGATTAGCAAATAGATTAGCATTTCTTAACTCTGTTAATTCTTTAATCTGTTAATCCTTAACTCTCTTTATGGTCATCAGGTCATGGAGAGACTGAAGAGTTAAATCTACATCTCCAACACTTCTCATGTAGCCAAGCTTCAAACAAAATAAATTAGTACCATTCTGTATTTGAGATCTCACTTCCAGTGTCAGCTTTATACTCTTCTTTGCTTCACTTGCCACTTTCCCCCGTAACTTTTGGTATATGAGCACCAAGTTGCACTTGATACACAAATTAATTGATACCTTTTCTGTCAATGTAACAATTTTCACAGGAAAGCACACTTGAAAACAGTTTTGGAGTTTGAGTTGGAAATTCATATATAAAAATAAGTTGTTGCCTTGAGCATTGTCAAAGAAATGATTGCATGAATTTTACTTTTGTTCTCCTTTCTCTTTCAAAAGGGGTGCTCTGTTCCTGTCTGATTGTGATGGATTTTGCTTGAATGTATATACCCAATTCCATTTCAGTATTTTAGTGCTCAATAGATTTGCCTTCCAAGCTCGCAGATAAATGGAATGCTAAATTGGATGCTAATGTTGGCTGGAAAACTATACTTTTTCCTAAGAGCTTTTGTCTCAGTCTAAAATAAATAAATATTGTTTTATGATTATGTACATAGCTAAAATTTATATAGAGTGACAAAAACAAAAGAAGTCCACCTTGGAAGAAAGTTATGGAAATACTATTATCAGATAGCCAGAAAGTGAAGGATTTTGTCTCTCACTTTGCCTAACTTTGCAGACTTTATTTTATAATAAGGACATCCAAACATTTAACTTAGACAATATAAATGCATCCCATTGGAGTGCCAATGTTTATCTTGGGAACTACTGTATGTACTTCTTGATCCTTTGAAAGGCTTTCCCCATGCTTCCAGAGCTTTGAGTCTCCTTTTGGTTTTCCTCAGATTGCTTACAAAGATGACTACAACAACTGGTTGAAAGGTGTGGGATGGAGTCCCTTGGGCTCCCTAGATATGGAAAAAGTTAGAAAAGCTGGCGATGCAATATGTGAATCTAAATATCGCCAGCACCCAGACCAATTCAAGTTTTCAAGTTTGATGGATGCTATGCCAATGGTTTTGGCTCATCACAATACCAAACAGCTGAGTGATGTAAGTTCAACCCCAAAGGGCATCATTTCCTTCTTTTAAGTTATTGTCTTAAAAGTGCTATGGAATTCTAAAATATTTATAAGCGGTCTTGGGCTGGTTCAAAGTTTTGGCTTTATCTAAGAAATTCCTGCAGAGGCTCTTTCATATAACTTTTGAGTTTTGCAAATCCCCAGCTATACGGGCCTAAATTGGATTTGTTTTCCTATGTACTCTGGGTACAAATTTCCATTCTAAAGGAGGCTTTTCAATTCTTTAAAATATGATGGGATTATGGTTTCCAGAATTTCCAGACTGTATTGCATTTGACTGTAGTGATTATGAATTTTAGGAGTAAAAGTCCAAATATACCTGGAAGATACTAGTTTGAGCAACATAATTTTAAATTAAAACTTGTACCTGCTGCATAAATTGTTTTTTTTTCTTTCAGATAAACTATAAGATAGAAGGTGAGAAAGTGAAGCACAAGTATCATTTGGATCCAGATGTACCTGCATTTATTCAAGCAAAAGTCAATGCCTACAATATAAGTGATGTAAGTACTTGACAGTTTCTTTGATGTCTAAATGAATTCATAAACTGATGTAAGACCTTCATCTATAGAAAACCAAAAATAGTGATTCATTTTATTCTTGGATTTTGCATTTCATTTTTTAAGCCACATGTAAAAAAAGAGGGTTTTGTTCATTAGAATGGGTATAAATTATCTTCATTCTAATTGTAGCTCTCACTTAAAAAAAACCTTTCATGTTAATATAAGAATATTCATGGACCTTCACTGCTAGAACTTAACTAGAGGCTTTAAGAAAAATGATTTCTTCTCTTTAAGAATTTCTACAAAGCAGGCTGGAAGAGGCGGCTTGCTGAAGGCTATGACATGAAAGCAGATGCTATTCCTATTGTTGCCGCAAAAGCTTCACGCCACATTGCCAGTGATGTAAGTTAGTCCTAATAAAATCTTTTAAGACACTTTCAAAAATTTTAAACAGCAGGGTTTGGAGATAGAGTAGGGTAGAAATAAATACCCAGCATTGAGATACTCTCTATCACAGAGAGTGATACCACTCGTTTTGCAATGGCTTAAACGTCTTCATTTTGATTTTCCCTAGTACAAATACAAGGAATCCTATGAGAAAGAAAAAGGAAAGCAAATTGGCTTCCTTAGCCTGCAAGATGATCCTAAATTGGTTCATTATATGAATGTGGCAAAACTACAATCAGAACGTGAATACAAGAAAGGCTACGAAAGCGGCAAAACTAAATATAATTTACCTCTAGACATGTTCAGTGTAGTGGCCGCTAAGAAAGCCCAAGAAGTTGTGACTGACACAAACTACAAACAACCTCTGCACCATTACACTCTTCTTCCTGATGCCATGAGTATGGAATTGTCAAGAAACAGGATGCAGATTCAGAGTGATGTATGTAATTATTAACACTATTGTGCCTATGATTAAATAATAACTTGGAGAAAGCCAGGACAGCTTTTTTAAAAATACAATTAATATATAAAAATATAGATAAATGTACAGATAGTTAAGATTTATGCAGAAGTATGTATGCCATCATGGAAGCATTGCAATGAATGGAAATGATGTTGTATATGAGAAAAATTGTTTAATAAAAATTAATAAAAAATAAAATAAAAGGGATATACAAATAACAGACCAACATAGTGATCTGGATAATTTTCCTGTATTAGATTTACAAAAATACTTTTTAAAGTTTTAAAGAATTTTGTGAGACAGAAAAAATGAAAAGAAATCAAGTCCAACAACATTGTTTGAAGATCAAGATTGTTAGCAGTAAACAGAAGGAATATAAAGAATATTTATTTAATTAAGGTTAAAATAGACATGTTATTACCTAAGGTTTCCCTTACTGGACTTTTGCTAACATTAGGACTGAAGTGATGAGCCTTTAAGGATTTGTTTATATAAGATATGAGAAGAGATAATTTGTTGTATTTTAGAGATGATGTTGTTAAAATTGTTTGTACTTCTAATGAATGGGGAAGACACTTCTTTATATATTTCCTTTTTCTTCCTATGTTTTTGTTTCTTCCTTTCCCTTTTAATTTTTATTCTTTTAGTTTGCATTAGTTTTTACTGTTATAATCTTTAATAAAATTACTATTAAAAAGAAAAAATACAATTAGTACAATTTAAATAAGATTGCTGACATAAGATTGCTTTTATTTCCAGATATGTTCCAGTCTATTTACTGGAAGTGTAAAGTTTTTCATATGACCACAATTAATTGTGGTATGAACCGGGTTTTAATAAATCACAGAGACATTTAGTACTGGAAGAATGTGAAATACATCACATTCTTATTGGAAGAACATAGACTTAGATACTTACATAGACTTGTTCTCCTTTAACTGGAGAGAAGGTTTTCAGTCAAAAGCTACCATTTCAGTGTGCATTTTGATGGAATAAAGCATTAGGCCATGCTACAATTACGATTATTTTGGAATATTATGAATATTTTTGATTCATATCAAGTTATTTCTTCTCCTTGCTTGCCCCTCCCCCACCCCTCAGAATCTTTACAAAACCGACTTTAATAGCTGGCTGAAGGGAGTAGGCTGGGTGCCAATTCAATCTCTGGAAGTGGAAAATGCAAAGAATGCCACTCATATTCTCAGTGAAAATAAATATCGTCAGCATCCAGACAAACTGAAGTATACCATTGACATGGATGCTATGGAACAGGTGTTGGCTAAACAAAATGCCCATAACATGGATAAGGTAAGGAAAAACAAAATGGTCCTAGGAACATTTTTTCAGGGACAAATTTAATTTAGAGACTATAGTCAAATGACCCAGTAAAGATGTGCTTCATTCTTAGTAAAAAGCATTTATTAGAAGTTCTACTGCTTCAATGGCTCATTAGTTGTAGTTATGGCTTATTGAATGACTAATTAGCCAATAATAAAAGAAAGTAGTTCTTCACACAGTGCATATTCATAAATTTGCTATCATAAGGTGTCTTAATGAGATCTGTCTCTGGTAAATTGTTCAAGATGACCAAATATCAAATTAATGTAGAAGTTACCTGCATGGAGAATGATTATGGCCTTTGTAATTTGCATTTTAATTTTCTTAAAAGTTTTGGATGATGGTAAACTGGATTGAAAGGAGTTTTGATCCAAATCAGGGATCAATAAGCTATGTGCACAAAACAAGAATCAATATGGCTTTTTAAGAACCATGGCAAAAAATCCAGATGGAACACAAACCAACCTGCTTGAAAAAAAGAGCCTGCATAATCCATTAATTACACTGAGAAATTTCTCTATAAATAGGGCTATATCTTGATTAACTCTAGTGGCCAAAATTGTTTTGGATATGGCTTCTTTCTAATATTACTTGTTCTTATGTCCTGGGTTTTCTTTTAAGCTGAGACCTGCCTCTAGAAGCTTGGCAATGAATAAATAGAATAAAAGGTCAATTGAAAGGGGGAAAATGTCTTCTTAATTCTTATCATATTAATTGTACAAAAATTGGATCCTCAATACTGTAGGTAAATTACTAAAATAGATATATTAAAATAACCATACAGGAGAAAATGACATGACTGTTTGTTGTAGTAAGTGGTAATACTGTATATACTATAGCAATAGTGTCCATTTTACATTTATTTAGAAATTCAACAAACAGTTAGGGTTGAGTTATAAAAAAAATCTAATTTTATATACTGTTATTTTGAGTTTGTACAGCTTCTTTGTGAAATCAAGAAATTAACAATTAAATTAATATTTAGTTTGTTTTTTTAAAAAAAAGAAAATATTGTATATTTCTAGTTTAGGAAGCAAAAGCAATAATAAAAGGTTTATCATTACAGATTTAGTTTTATTTTGCCTAGTGAGAGGGAGTGTCTTAGTGGCACAAAATGTGCAAGCAAATAACTTGGCAACATGCAACAATGTGATTTCTTTACAACTTTTTATTTTAACTGCAGAGGCGGTATGTAGAAAAATGGAACAAAGACAAGACTGATATTCACGTAATGCCTGATACACCAGAAATACTTCTGTCCAGAGCCAACCAAATCACCATGAGTGATGTAAGCTAAGTATAGGATTGGACTTACGTATCAGTACATTAATATGGGTCATATTAAAGTATATAACCATCATTCTATTTTTTCCTTGAAAAAAATAGTTCTAAACATCTGCCTGTGTTTCCTTCTGTTGTGGAACAGAAAATATATAGGTCTGGCTGGGAAGAGGAGAAGAAGAAAGGCTATGATCTACGACCAGATGCTCTGTCCATAAAAGCAGCTAAAACTTCCAGGGATATTGCAAGTGATGTAAGTTTAATTTTTATATTGCCTTATTATTGGAAAATGTATTTTTATCCTTAATCTGACAATTTCATTTGCTGTCTGATATTGAATGTATACAGCCATATTAGTCTGAATTATTTAAGTTGCCTGAAGTATGAATTTGCTCTGGCAAATCTATGGAATTTGTTTCCTAAAAATTTTAAGGGCTTCATAGGTTTTGTGGATATCTTGTTACTTGCTCAAACATGCTCCTGGTGGAATATGTTTAGTATATTTTATCTATCATGTCTCTCCCTCCCTCCCCCCCTCCCTCCCTCTCCCTTCCTCCACCCACCTCTCTAGATCAGTGTCTTTCTATACTTGCCAGTAAAGAATTATATCCCAGTATAGTTCTTTGTTGATTGCCTCATTAATTCTGTCCTTGTCTTTTACGATCTCTAGGGAATTTACCAGAGGGAAATATTGAAAGATAATTGGTACAAACTTCTATCTTGCTAGTGGATAAAGATAGTATTTATTCCATTCCTCCCAAATATTAGGTTACAATGTAACCCATGAGTTAGATTGCAGCCTAATCAATATTATTAATTTGAAAGGGCTTAATGGGATTTAATTCTATTAAAAGGCTAATTAATGCTATATTACACCAAACCTATGGTGACCTAGGTGATTTCCAGGTGGTAATGCAGATATGCTTATATTTAATTTGGGTCTCCAATGGGTGTGCAGTCACCCAGGTGTGGTGGCTGGATGTTGAGAGTGGATAAAGGAGTCACTGTGCAAGTTGTGTGATGATTAATCAACATCACAAGCTTATAAAACTCTCATCATTTACTCTATTTATACAGGGCAATGGTTTGTTGTGCAAAACTGGGGCAAGTGGGATGCAGGCAAGCATTGTCCATCTATTACCAAGAAGAGCAAATTCTGATTGGTGTTGGCTTTTTGTTTTGCCGGTTGAAAAAAGCAAATATTTCTGTGCCTGTAACATTCTGGTATTTTTACAGATCCAGAAATATTTAGAAAAGTCCAAGCAATTCCTGCTGAATTGTAATTATAAAATCAATAGATTTGGGTGATAGGAAATGTTACATTTTATATACTCGATATATAGTAACATATATCAAATTTTTTATCAGTCACTGTCAATGAATAACATAACTAAATATCTTTGTGTGTGTGTGTTGTTTCGTTATTCTATACGGCTTATAGTACAAATACAAATTGGCCTTCGAACAATCAAAAGGAAGGCAGATCGGCTTCCGTAACGTAAAAGATGACCCTAAGCTTGTGCACTATATGGAAGTTGCCAAGATGCAATCTGAGCGCGAATATAAAAAGGACTATGAAAAATCAAAGACCCGGTTCCACATTCCTGTCGACATGTTCAGTGTTGTGGCAGCCAAGAAAGCACAGGAAGTGGCCACTGATACCAACTACCGGAATATTATCCACACTTACAGCGCTTTGCCCGATTCAATGAACCTTGAATTGGCCAAAAATATGATGCAGATCCAGAGTGACGTAAGGATTTTAAAAATATATATATAAAACTGCTTGAATGACAAAGTTAGAGAAGTGAAGTCTTTGTAACTTTGCAATTGGGAGAGAACATTTGGAAGATATATCACAACTGTTTTTTCACTGCAAGTGGCATTTAGCTTTTTCCCTGAAAAAGCAGGTCATAGAAAATATGCAATGTGCTGCTATCAAACTTCCATTTACATGATGGAAATAGACAAAGCTCTTCTTCCCTCTGTAAATCTAGAGAAGATTTGAAAAGGGTTTACTGAGAAGTAAATTGACACTATAGAAAACATTATTAATTTAATATATGGGTGATTTTATGGAGCGGCTGTTTATATTAAATGTTAGAATACCAGAGTGGTAGTCATAGTTAACAGCAGATTAAGCCATGGTCTACCTCTAGCTCATGGGGCAGATTTATATGTCTATCCCAAACTCAGCTGGTGAGTTGACTGTAAATGCCAGTTCTCTCTCACAACATTGCTATGGAGAGAAACTTGAAGAGGAAGTCCTGCTACTTGGAATTCCTACCACAAATTTGGTGTATCAAACTAATAATAAAACTGTAATGCAGATAGCATGCAAAATCACAGGATAAAATAATAAACAGACCCGCTCAAATTAGTGCACAGTTTCACAATGATGAAACAATGCAGGATCACAACAATGACATGTATATTTTTCATTTGTGTGTCGAAACATGCTTCCTTTTTGGTCTTTTCTAATGTCATTTATAATCGAGACCGCACACTAAACTATGCTCAGAAGTTCAGTCTTTTTGTTTCAAATATAGAAAGTTGTTTTTCCAAATATTTTGTATAAACTTTCCTTTCATTTTGTTTTCCAGAATCAGTACAAAGCAGACTATGATGAATTCATGAAAGGGATTGGATGGATACCACTAGGATCTCTAGAATCTGAAAAGAATAGGAAAGCCATGGAGATTGTCAGTGAGAAGAAGTACAGACAACATCCAGACAAACTGAAATATTCTATTCTAATGGATTCTATGCCAATGGTTCTGGCAACAAGTAATGCAAAAATAATGGATGATGTAAGCCAAGGAATCTTTATTTATCTACTTGCTTACTTACTAAGATTTGGGTGGGCTTATAATCATATAAATCAAATATCTACTGTCAGGAAATATGATTCATCACAAAAACAAATAACTAAAATATGAAGTGAGACATAGAAATATCCTTGCCCAAAGTCATTGAACAAATCTGTAAGAATATAATAAAAAAGATTAGGCACAAATTAACTTGTTTGTTGATTCAGTGGATAGATATCTAGCTCTTCAGAAATGTATATTATTTTTTCTACAGTATTAAGAAAGTTACTGTGAGGACAATTAATTCAGGAGACAACTTGCCAATAGCTGTATACATTGGTCACATATATATTTCTAATTCATAGGTTTGATTATGGATTGTATAATATTTCTAGGTTAACAAGTATCATCGGTTTCATTTCTTTGAGATGTAATCATATTATTTACTAGTATACTTAGGATGAAGTGGTGAATAGATTTCTATTTGCTAATATTTTCTAATTGCTATGATGTAACTGGCTTTTAAAAGATGTAATTTAGGGTGATATTTACATGTTTGTTTTTCTCCCAATGAAAGGGGTAAATTTTCTTTTATATTATTGTATGACCAACATGCAAATGCACATGAAGTCTTTCACAATCCCATGACACAAACCCTTTTCAAAAAGGGTTACTTTCTGGCCTAAGAGTCTTTAGTATTTAGACTAATTATTCCAAATTATTTCACAGAACAAAAGGAACCATTATTAATTACCAGGGGAGCCAAAGGATCTTTCTGTTTGATTTTATTTCTTAAAAAATGAGTGTAGCTAAACAAATTTAACTATGCTAATTTGCTAGTATCATTTAGTGACTGTTCAAGGTTACAATGCCACTGAAAAAAGTGACTTATAACCATTTTTCACACTTACGACGGTTGCAGTGTTCCCATGGTCATTTGAGCAAAATTCAGAGGCTTGGCAACTGACTCATATTTATGACAGTTGCTGTAGCTTGGGTCACATGATCACCTTTTGTGACCTTCTGACAAGCAAAATCAATGGGAAAACCAGTTTCACTTAACAGTTATGTTACAAATTTACTAACTGTAGAGATTTACTTAACAACTGTGGCAAGAAAAGTTGCAAAATGAGGGACAAAACTCATTTAACAAATATTTCACTTAGCAATAAAAAATGTGGGCTCAATTATGGTCGTAAGTTGAGATCTACCTCTACTAGCAAATTGTCATCAGCCCATGAATATTCTTGTTTGAATAATTCTACATAAGCTAAAATTCATACTTGGTTCATTCTGTATTGGGCTGATTAAGCATGTGTGATGACCCAGAGTGTGGCACGAAAGCAACACAACCAAAGTTCAGGTCTAACTCCCCTTTATTGTCCCAACTTTACCCCCAGATGTTTCCACGTTTACTACAAGTCCTGGAGCAAAGCTTTCACATGCACCTTCAGCAGCCTCTGGCTGTGAGTAGTCCAGTAAGCTAGGTTAGCCAAACAGTAACCAGGGCCAGCAGTCCAGTAAGCCTGGTTAGCCAAATAGTAACCAGAACAAGAAATTCAGTGAAGCAGGCAGACTGGGGAAGCTCCACAAGTCAGAGTACAATAATCTCCAGGTGTCGGCAAGTACACAAAAGGCTCCACAGATTCAACGCTTGTTCCCAACAAATGCCCCTCCCACTGGCACCTCCTTACATCTTAGTCCCCAGGTGTGCCTTTGAAGTGGGGACAGGGCACTCTCCTCCCTTGTAGCCAGCTCAGTCGGTGTTCTCGTCTTCTCTCTTCTCTCCGTGCTCTAGGATCAGAAGGGGGTGGTCCTTGCTCATCACCTGAACTCTGTCTCTCCTGCTCCTCCCTGTCTACAAGCCTTTCTAATCCTGAAAAGCCCTGCCTGGCCTGGCTCTGCCCTTCCCCAGTTTCCTCCAAGCCAATGGAGCTGCCCTCTTGATCTCTGTTGGCTCTTGTTCCAGCTCATCTTCCCCCGCAGATTCAGACTCCAACAGGGGCATGACAGCATGGTTCAGTCAAATTAATCAAATAATTCCATTGTCTAGTAAAATGGACTGGTGAAATATTTTTCAATCATCAAAGGATTGATATAAAATAAAATTTAATTATGGTATTGCTTTTATTATGGTGTGTATTTTTTTAGCTGTGTTTTTTTTTTAGGTTTATTTCAAAGTTATTTTTCAATGATGCATGTTCCCTTCATTTTATTTCAGCACCTTTACAAAAAGGATTGGGAAGCAGCAAAGACGCAGATTCATATCACACCAGATATTCCTGAGATTCTTTTGGCAAAAGTCAATGCATATAACATCAGTGATGTAAGTATGCAGGTTGATGAAGAACTATGTTTTGCTTAGTGCTAGTACTAGTGAATCAGCAAAACTACATGTTACATTATTTGTCAAACAAGTTAGGCACATGGCCTAGCAGAAAAGCTAGCCTTTGAGTCAAATCCTGCATTATTGTTCATTGAAAACTCTAAGTAGCAGAATTATTTGTTTGTGTAGCTTTTCATACACCACCTTTCTAAATAATTGTTCTCAAATTAGCAGCACAAAATTAAAAAAAAAAACCACCACACCAAGTCAATAAAGAAACAGGAAAAAAATACAACTTAAAGAAGAAAAAAAAAAATCAAAATCACTATTCACCAAAACTTGAATAGAAACTTGAGAATTATCTTGGCACTGTATTAAAAATGCTTGTGAAAGCTTTCCAAAACCAGTGTTCATTTGCTGAAATGTTCCTTTGCTAGGTAGGTGTAATTAAAATCGGTCTTTTTCTAGCCAGACACCATAGTGCCCTGGGGAACTTTGGCAATAGTTTTGCATCCTACTCTGATTTACTCAGATTCTTTCTTAGCTGTCTTTGCAAAAAGGGAGGGAAAAAAAAACCACGACAACCTGTCGGTGGTGTGATTGTTGAAGGAAATGGCAAACCTGCCCCACTGGAATGCCTTGGAAGCGGAGGGGGAATTGTGGTCACAGATACCTTAGCAGCTCAACTACAAGAAGGAAGAGAAAATCTTGGGATCCCTTAAGCAGACTAAGTTTCAGTGTAAAACTGCCTCTCTAGAGTTCCAGTAGAATTGCTTTAAAGCTGTCACTGCTCTTTTGGGTGCTAAGAATAGTTATATATGTTAATTAACCAAGTCCACAGCATCATATAACCATATGGGGACATGGCACCGACTGCAGATTGTGTGGCTTGTTTGTAAAAAGGGCCCTAGTGTAGGTTTGTAATCTGGCATTGATCAACATATGAATGAATGAATTATTTATTTATTGGCCAAGTGTGATTAGACACACAAGGTATTTATTTTGGTGCATAGGCTCTCAATGTACATGAAAAAATACATTCATGAAGAATTATAAGATAAAACACCTGTACCCTATAGTCATAGGGTACAAATCAGCAATAAAATCATACTAAGAAACAGTCAATATAAATTGTAAGGATACAAGCAACAAAGTTACAGTCATACAGTCACAAGTGGGAGGGAATGGATGATAAGGAGTGATGAGAAGATTAATAGTAATAGTAGTGCAGACTTTGTAAATAGTTGGACAGTGTTGAGGGGATTATTTGATTATCAGAGTGATGGCTTTTGGGAAAAAGCTGTCCTTATGTCTAGTTGTTCTGTTGTGCAGTGCTCTATAGCGTCGTGTTGAGGGAAGGAGTTGAAACAGTTTATGTCCAGGATGTGAGGGGTCTGTAAATATTTTCACCGCCCTCTTTTTGACTAGTGCAGTATACAGATCCTCAGTTGAAGACTGGTGGGTAGTAATTGTTTTTTCCGCGGTCCTAATTATCCTCTGAAGTCTGTGTCTCTCTTGTTGGGTTGCAGAACCAAACCAGACAGTTATAGAGGTGCAGATGATAGACTCAATAATTCCTCGAATATAAATTAGCAGGGTAGACTTTAAAGCCTATTGTGCTTTTTGAAAGATTCAGGATGGCTCTCAGAACAAAGAATCATAACTTTTAACTGGAAGAATCATTGCACTACATTCATTTAAATGTGCTTCGGTTTTAATTCTACTAAATCAAATTTACTTTTTCTTCTGGATCTTCCTAAGTTTTCAGGGTGCTAAGAAATAATCACACCTTATAAAGCATTAATTTCTGTCTCTGTACTGAGTATTTTTTAAAATATTTTGGTTTCTTTTTCCACCTAGAAAATATATAAACATTCTCTGGAAGAAGTTAAGAAGAAAGGCTATGACCTCAGAAGTGATGCAATCCCTATTAAAGCTGCTAAAGCTTCTCGGGAGATTGCCAGTGATGTAAGTTTGCAGTCAATGTTGTTGGCTTTTTCTCCTGCTGAAGAAATGTTACAGAAGGCCCCGGTGAACAAAAAGGCACCTTTGGAACCAATTTAACAATCTGTTCAATCCGTACCTATACTCATTTTCATTTTATTACCGTATGATAAAGTTACAATTTAGTATTGGCCTTCTCAAGCTTACATTTCACTTTCTGTTTTCTCTGCAGTACAAATATAAATTAGGTTATGAACAGGACAAGGGTAAGCTTGTTGGCTTCCGCAGCCTCCAAGATGACCCCAAGCTTGTCCATTACATGCAAGTGGCCAAGATGCAGTCAGATCGCGAGTACAAGAAAGCCTATGAAAGCAGCAAAACGAGATACAACATGCCTGCTGATGCTGTCAGCGTTGTGGCTGCCAAAGAAGCACAAGACAATATTACCAATGTCAATTACAAAAGGCTCATCCATAAATATATCCTTCTGCCGGATGCCATAAATGTAGAACTGGCCAGAAACATGAACCGGGTTCAAAGTGATGTAAGATCTTGCAATCTCTCTTTTTTTTTTTTTACTATTAGTTGAAAGCTTTTATATTAGCTTTTTATGTTTGTTTATCTTTGGGGGAGATGGGCAGTTCAAAAATGTGAAAAATTAATAAAAATAAAAATGCTTTAGTAAACAATATTTTATAATAAACGGATTTAATATATATAAATAAGCAGATTATTTGCAATATTCAGTTAAAATTGTCCAGGATAGAAATGTCTTGAGTGATTAAGAATCAGAATTATACTTCTTTCCCACATACATAAACTCAACAGGATTTTTAACAATTTACCGTATGTTGATTTTTTTTAGCTGGGGAAAAAATTCCTTTGGAATAATTATTCCCACATAGTTAAAGGGGAAATCCCAATTTTTACAGATGTCAATAAAAACATTTCAACTAAATGAATTTGATAAATTACCAAATACACTATCAATACATTTTAGTATAAAATGCATAATTATAGAGAAGACGTAAGCTATCATCAACACATTATAACAGTTTGGGTTCAACTCCACCCACTGTAAAATGTGTTCCATTTGTAATTGCAAATCTGTACTTATATTAACAGATAACAGATAATCAGAGTGGGAAGGGAACTTGTAGGTCATCTAGTCCAACCCCCCCGCCCAAGCGGGAGACCCTACACCATTTCTGACAAATGGCAGTCCAATCTCTTCTTGAAAGTCTCAAGTGATGGCGCTCCCACAACTTCCGAGGTTAAGCTGTTCCATTGGTTGATTGTTCTCACTGTCAGAAAGTTTCTCCTTATTTCCAGGTTAAATCTCTCCTTGTTCAGTTTCCATCCATTATTCCTTGTCTGGCCTACAGGCACTTTAGAAAATAGATTGACCCCTTCTTCTCTGTGGCAGCCCCTCAAATATTGGAAGACCGCTATCATGTCTTCCCTTGTCCTTCTCTTCACTAGACTAGCCATGCCCAGTTCCTGCAACCGTTCATCGTATGTTTTAGCTTCCAGTCCCCTAATCATCCTGGTTGCTCTTCTCTGTACTTTTTCTAGAGTCTCAACATCTTTTTTATAATGTGGTGGCCAAAACTGGATGCAGTACTCTAGGTGTGGTCTTACTAAGGCTTTATAGAGTGGTATTAGTACTTCCCTTGATCTTGATTGTATCCCTCTGTTAATACAACTTGGGATTGCATTAGCTTTTTTGGTGGCGGCTGCACACTGCTGGCTCATATTTAGCTGGTTGTCCACTAAGACTCCAAGATCCCTCTCACAGTTACTGCTATTGAGCCTGGTTTCACCCAGTCTATATGGGTACTTTTGGTTTATTTTGCCTAAATGTAGAACTTTACTTTTCTCTACATTGAATTTCATTTTGTTAGATACGGCCCAGTTTTCTAGTCTGTCAAGATCCATCGGGATCTTGTGAAGTGAGATAAAGGACGTTCTTGTTAAGTTCGGCAAGATATCTTGCTGAACAGATCATTCCATTTGTAGTATCCTTAGCAAAAAAGAACAGTGTACCACGTATTGATCCACATTCTGTGACCACGTAATCCACACTATGTGATCACATAAAAAAGGAGGAAATCTATAGTTAGCCAACACTTTTTATACAAACTTTCACATTTGATTGATTGATTATGTGCCATCAAGTGATTGTTGACCCCTAGTAATCACATATATTTTCTCCATGACAATCCACTCCTAACTTGTTCTTTCAAATTTTCCAATGTTGCAGTCATTGCCATTAGGCCTATCTACCTGGTTGCTGGCTATTCTCTTCCTTTCCTTACGCCTTTCCCAGCATTACAGCTTTCTCCAGAGAATCTTTTCATAAAGTGCCCAAATTAGTTAATAGTTAATTAATACTGAATAATAAGCCAAAACTTTTCTTTAGTCATTCCCATTGCACCATCTCAAAAAAAAATAATAAAATAAAATCCATCGAGACTACTGCTGCAGATTTTAGGGTTTTTTTTGAATGTCAGTAATCTAATAATATATTTTGCCAACTGTGTACAAAATGATATTGTGCTGATTGAATGATTGAAATCCATCTGCGTTCTATGTGCCAGGGTCCATAGCAGTAGTTTTGCATTAAAATAGAACAAGTAAATTAGTCAGCAGAACTGCAGAGTCAGCAGGTTAGTCACCAGCCTTCAAAATCATAGTTATATAACTGACAGAGAAAGGGGAGGAAAGTATTTTAAAAGGCATTATTGTATAGATCTGCAATGTTTGTTTTTCTATGTCAGTAGCATAACAGTTGAAATAAGGCATACTGTATGACACAAAATTTAAAATATAAAAGGCAAGATTAAAATATGTACAAGTTAAACCGATCTTGCCCAGAAACTGGCAACATTAACTGTGTTGTGTCGGTTGCCACGAGGTCCTCAAGTATGCACTGATCAGGATAATCTGCAATGATATTGGGACAAAGAATTCAATATTGGTCTTATACCACTCAGTGGAATAATTATCTGGACTAGATGCGTTTCCTGGTTCATAGATATAGTATAACTATAATTTCTTGGAAAGATGAAGTTGCAGCTTAATTAAATGTACTTTTAGGAAAGATCTATACCATGTACAAATGTATTAAATGCTTTCTCAATGGTGTGATACAATTGAGAAAAAAAAATAAAATCTGCTAATTTATAGAGTCAGAATTATTACTGCAGCATTCTTTAAAAAATCATATGAGAGACACTGTTGTTCAGTACTTTAGAAAAGAAAACACTTGTTTATTAACTAAATAGTAAACCAAACATTTTTTTTACAATTTTGCAATACTTATTGATTAAATAATAAAGCAAACAAAAGACAAGAGGATTATCTCTTCCTCAAGGGTGACTGAAACTGTAATTCATTGTGTCCTCATTTAATCATAGGATGCCTCTTGTTGATATGTCCATATATTATTATAGTTAAGAGCTGTGCAACTATAAATGTGTTTTATTTTCTGCCTATAGCATGAATATAAGCAAGATTATAATGAATGGTATAAAGGTCTTGGTTGGAGCCCTGCTGGGTCATTGGATATTGAGAAGTCCAAGAAAGCCACTGAAATTGCTAGTGATACCAAATATCGCCAGCATCCAAGTGCTTTCCCATTTAAGAAGCTGACTGATTCAATGGATATGGAACTCGCCAAGCACAATGCTGATGTTATGAATAAGGTGACTGTTTCTTTTCTGAGTGCAAATAATGGCATATGCCACATCCCACTTTACCCCTCTGGTTAGCATTACTTAAGCAAAAGAGCCTCAGCAGATTGTAGATGCATGTTATGAGTGGTAGAGATTTTGTAAAAACCACTGAACAATTTCTAGCAGATTTTTATTTTATAGGACATAATTATTTGTTAGCTGATTTCTCAACTTAATGGCATCTGTTAGTGGTATATGTTAGCGGTATTTTTGAATTAATGTTGTCATTCTCACTTGTTACTTAAAGGGACTTTGTGTGTCCCTAAAAGGGTTTATGCAGATGAAATTTGTGAGGTGTTGTATAGAGAAAAAAGCTAATTTATGGCCAGAAGATCATCCCAAGCACGTTATTAAATATAGGTCATCTAGGACATATAAATATATTTCCTTTGCAGAGTACCTGCACACACTTTCAATTTTATATTAGAATTTCATTTTAAAATCAAACTCAGCATATGCATATTGGTAGAACTGTCCACATGCCAACATTATTGTCTATGAATGCATTTATGGATCTTTATTGTTTTCTTCTCTAATAGCGTGCATACATAAATGCATGGGAGAAAGATAAGACGACGATTCATGTCATGCCAGATACACCAGATATTATGCTGGCTAAAGCAAATAAGTTTAATTACAGCCAGGTAAGAAAATATTCAAGCATGTGTTTTAGTAACTAGCCTTCATCATGTTGGTTATATTATCCCGAATGAAATGATTCCTTTGTTAAAAATTAACAAAAATGTTAATTTTTGGCATTGCTGTTTCTTGAAACTGATTTGAAGCAAATCAAAAGATTTCTTGTGAGGCAAAAACACGAAAGAGAAAAAAGCTAAGACTTATACTAATATTATTAAACATTAGCAGGGCTTTCACAACTACTGAGATAACAGAATGCTGGACTAGACATATGTTTGCAGAATCTTAAAAAAAAGTCACATTACTTTGTTCAATTAAAAAAAACATTTGAAGATAATATGTTCCTCAAATAACAGACAATATTTGAGGAAAGCTAAGGCATTCATAGGCAGGTTTCTTAGGGATTTTCCCATTGCTGTCACAAGATTAGATTTCTCCATGAGGAATAGCATATATGGGGTGTATTTAAATTTTAGGAGTGGGTTGTAAATGTTTAATTTATTCAAATTGCTTTCCTTCTTTTTAATCCATGCTACTTTTTCATGCTAGAAACTGTACAAAGTTGGATTGGAAGAAATGTTGAAGAAGGGTTATGATCTCACTACCGAAGCCATGTCAGTGAAAGCAGCTAAAGCATCCAGAGACATTGCTAGTGATGTAAGTCATCTTGTAAATTCTCTCTGATATCATACCTTAGTGTTGAGGTAATTCCCTGTTAGGAGAATGAGTACACACAGGGAGAGGTAGTGAGAGTAGTGAAGAATAACACACACACAGCACACAGCCACACTCTATAGTAAAATGTAGGTTTTTACTTCCAGTAAAATGGGTAAGCAAAGTTCAACAAAACAGTCCAAGTCATTCACAGTTAAAGCAGTCAGTTTTCAGTCCAGGGATAATCCAAATAACAAAGTCCAGTATCAAAAACAGTTCAGTAACAGACTTACCTCAACGATCAGCAACAGTCAATAGGAGGAACGACAACACTCTCAGCAACAACAGAACAGGACTACCCAGGTTTCTGACTCCATCTTATGGGTGTTTGAGGAACCATGCCCAATTACAATTTTAGCATTCCCTTAAAGAGACAGTCTTAAAATGTCTATCCTGGTTTATATATTTTCCAACCTAACTAACTGTTAGGTGAACTTACATTCCTAACACTTAGGCTATGACTCTTTTTAATGTTGGGGTTTATTAATTTCCACTGCCCAATAAGTAAGAAACCCGTATTTCTCTCATGTGGGTCCTTGAGCGGGATTTTCCATTGTGTCACTGAAACACAGACTTTATTAATGTGCCCTGGGGTCTTAACCAAACATCTTTATATTTAAGGCAGGGGTAGATGAACCCAGTTTTCAGGGGGTGGGGCTGGCCTGTAGTCTTTTATAGTTATAATATATTGATATACATTGATATATATATAT